GTTTATTTAGATTTAAAAATCTAAAAGTGATAGCAATATAACCAAGTCAATGGAACTTCATTAAATGTAGCAAAATATCTTACTCGTTACCTCTAACCATGCAACCATATTGTTAACAACAGTCATAACGTATAACAGTTCATTTGAATACAAATATGCCAATATATCTTACTTTCACACCTCTATATATGCAAACATGTCAACTACAAAAATATATATCAATTGGTTCGAGTTTAAAAAATAACTGGTATACGCAACATAATGGAGGATCATTGAATATAACAATATAACTAGAAATGTGACTTCTGAAAATATAACCAGTTACTTTTGAAGATAATTGCAGCGTATAACAGTTTCGTTATAAAAGCTTTAAGAGTTCAAATCTCAAAATAGTTTTTGAAATTATGTCGGCAGTAAAACTGTAAACTTAAATTTAAAATCTATTGCAAATTTGATTCCATTGCTAAGAAGTAAGTTTATTTACAACCAGTTTTTAACTGAATAATTGTGGAGTGATTTGGTGGACGTTACAATGTATATTCCTGATACTTTTATGAAAACTGCGAACACGTTACTGAATATGCCCTTTTTTTACCTCAGGCGAAAATATTCACTTAGATTACAAAAAAGACCAACCAATGCCATCCATCTACTAGGTAAAAGTACCTTACTTATGTATATACATGACGAAGAAAACAAACGGACTTACTACGCTATTTGGATAAACCCTATTTGGAAACCGTCAGAATTTTCTTATCCCTTTAGTAGTTCTTTTAAAAAAATGTATATTTTGTGCCCAACTTTAGATCTCTCATTAATTTTTGGGAAACGTTTCCACTAAAATATACTTAATAATTTTTGTGTGCAACCAGAAACATGGCTTTTATTTAATACTATCGACTAGATAATACCTATACCCCTTTTTTTTTGCACATATTTTTCACTTCATGTAATACTTAAAGCACGTTTAATACAATTTATAAATGAGCGAGTGAAGGGGAAAGTGAAAGTTTCTTGACTTTTATATAAAGCGTTGAGTAAAAATACTCAATGCTTAAAGTCAAGAAACTTTCAAAAAAAATCTGGTTTGAAGATATCTATGTGTATAGATATTAATTATTATGTTGAAGCTGTTTCAAGCCAGTGCACTAAAGCACTTAAACTCTTTTTTAACTCGAGGTATTTTTAAAACCCTTCTTTACACCTTGACTAGAATATTGTTTATCATTTCATCAGACTAAGCAATAATTGACCTCAGATCTGCATACCTCCCCGAGGAGCCTGTAACCATTTAGAGATTTGATAACGCGGTGTTGGTAAGTCTGTCAGTTTTCGCAAATAATTTCATATAAAATGTATAAATAAAAACCAATTTGATTCAGTTTTAGTCATTAGTTTAAAAAATATTTAAAATTATTTGTAAAATAAAACTTAAAAAAAATTTAAGATAAAAAATGTATGTTAATATTATTATGAAATTTTTTAGAAAGTATTTAGAATGTAAATTATGGATAGAAGTAAAAGAAGTAAACGAACTATATACAACATCTTGAAACCGTGAGGAGAAGAAAGTTGATATTATTTATGAATATATTTTAAAATATTTTCACGAGGACGACTGCATATATTTTAGAGTTCATTTTAATGATATTGAATAATCTTCATTATTCAACTACTAAGGCAGCTTGGAGAATACTTAAAAACATAATGAGCCTTTGAAATTATGAAACACAATAAAATAGATAAATAAAAATCTGAAGACTATATTAAGTTGACGTAGTCTACATTACTTGCAAGAAATGTAAATATCCATAAAAAAAAATATTTAGGATTAATCTTTAAGTAATGTCTCTTAAATGATGATTATTTTTGTGAACCAAGTAGAGTTTGTTCCTTTTTATATTTGCAGCTAGATAACATAGTATATTTTTTTATTATCATGAACCAAGTGGTGGGTTACTCATTATGTTAATGTTTCGATAACATAAGATGTATTTTTTTCTTTCAGAGTAGTAAAAAAATAACATTAAGTCTGATTGAATAAAGTTGCCATCACTTCTAAAATATGTTAAATGCTTTTTTGTCATATCTTTTTGGCTGTTGTGTATAATATAAAATATAAAAATTATAAAATTGGATGACTGGAATTTTACAACATCTATCCAGCTTATGTAAAAATACTACAAAACTTGAGACTATTACCCTTGACATTACTAACTGAAATATATAATGGTACTTTGCATAGAAGAAGTTTATTTGTGGGCTTTAGCTCAAAACATTGATAGTTCTGATTCTATAAGTAATAAACAGAAGCTTGTTAGCAAATATTATATATACATATAAGCAACATTAAAACATATAAAATTAATTATATTACATGCATATAATTAAATATATACTATTAAATATTAGACTAAAAAAAATAAATAAAGAACAAGAAATTAAATTAATTTAAATAACTTTAAATTTCACACTCTATTTGAAGGAGAAGATACAATCGTTTTTTTTAAAACTTAAACTAGATTAATTTTCTCACATATTTCTAAGAGTGATCAGTTCTTATTTCCGCGCTTAAACTAGGTTTCTTATTCAGGACAATTTGATTACCTAAACCGGAGTAAGTATACGTTAGTACAAAAAATTTTATTCAATTTTAAACGTCGGCCTGCTGCTTAATGATTCTCTGCAGCAGTTCTGCTTGGAATAAAGGAAATAAAGTCCATATTGAAGTCTAGGAATAGTAAAAAAATTTCTGTTTGTTAGATGTGCTTATGAGCAAAGTATTACTCATACAGTAAAGTATTTTTTTAACCTAAGATGCTTCCGTGTGAAGTTCAACTTTAAACATGGTTTAAACCATATTTACAACTGCTCCAGCGCTAAAGCCTTTTTCGCTTAGGGCATTTGTTTTTTCGATGGGTTCTACATCTGACTAAATACCTTTAATGAAGACAGCAAACCCTTTACTACTCTTCAGTTGGTATGTTAAGTAATTTTTCTTGCTGGGGTTCGAAATGTTTGGTTATGACCCTAAAATTTATTTTGGTTTCGATTTGGATATATAGGAACAAAACGTGTTCTTTTCAATCAGTTGTGCAAGGAGTGTAACTAGGTTATTTTAACTGCGTTTACGCATGTAGATTGGAGTGGTTTTTAAAATTTTTGGCTGATTCCTCTGCAGTTTCAGTTAGTTCAGCAAATCTATTACCAGAAAGTATGCTTGTGAGTGCACTTTCTTTGTTAGTTTTATTTATATTAGCACCTTTCGAATTGCCTTTTTAAAGACTAAGTTTTTCGTGTGGGACTGACTAAGTATTTTTGGGACTGACTGTCCCAAAAGATGCAATATATGAAGAACTTTTATTGGATGGTAGTGTTTTTGGAGGTAACGTTTTAGATGCGTCTATTACCAGATAAGTATTACTTTTACTTAGAATGCTTATCGTATGTCTTCTCTCTGGGGGAGGATTTTGATTGCTCACTTGCATACGTGGTTATATATGCAAATAGTATAGCTGTACTAAAGAATTTACTTATTATAACTACTATCGAAATAAATTGAATTTAAGTTAAATTAAATATATATATAAAAGTAAAATTAATTTAAATTAATGTAAAGAAAAAACAAAAAAAAACTGTTAACATATAAAATATTACTATTTTATATTGAAATAATTAAATAGATAAATAGGAAGGTAATTGATAAATAAAATATATAACTTAACAACTGTGTTGGTTGTGTTGAGTTGTGTTGAATTGTGGGCTTACAATCACAGCTTTTGTGAAACATGTTTGTAATAAAATAATAGCTGTCTCCGTCAACCTATGTATTAAAAAACAAAAATAATTCTAATAAAAATACTTGTTCTATATTATGTTGAAGCTGCTTAAGGCTAGTGCACTTAAGCACTTATACTCTTTTTTAACTCGAGGTTTCTTCAAAACCCCTCTCTACACCTTGACTAGATTATTGTTTATCATTTCATCAGACTAAGCAATAATTGACCTCAGATCTGCACACCTCCCCGAGGAGCCTGTAACCATTTAGAGATTTGATAACGCGGTGTTGGTAAGTCTGTCAGTTTTCGCAAATAATTTCAGGGCTCTATGTTATTCTTCATGTATTTTTAGATTGGATCAATCTTGACTGCAATTTAAATTTCTCGAAGACCGGCTTAAAAACACGTCCGCTTACTAGAAATGTTGAATTGTTATATCTGATTAATGAAGATGATTTATCAAAAAACATAAAATAATTATTGATAAATAATAAAAGCTATATCATAATAATGGTATTTATAATGAGTAGTTAATTTTTTGAATCGTGATTTCCATTGCTATACACAGTTTGTCCAAAGTTTTTATACATTCAATTAAACGCTACCACTGTTAGGAATTCATCTTAGCAATGGTTGAGTATACATAAAAGTACCTTAGATCAAATTAGTAGAGATTCTTATTATCTACAATATCTGTTGTAATATAAAATCTCATTTACAGAAAATGGAACAACATACTCGTGTATACAGAAAGATGCATTTCTGTAACCTCATACGTTACATATCTTGATTAGAGAATGTTTGCAGCTTTTGAGCTATCTAATAAAATATCAAAACAAATTTTAGCTGTGTAGCTCAACATTTTTTATTCCATGGCTGAATCTCTGTATGACTACACTCTTCTGCTAATATCCTTCCAACCTTCTTGTACCCTAAAAGTGCCCTCAGAGTGTGCAAAATATTTTATGAGTTTCAGGTAACTTATGATTGTGTTTTGAGCCGGATAGAACTCATTATTATCTCCTTGAGAAAGTATTCAATTAATCTATAATGTTAATATATATTAAAGATAGTACAAAATGAAACTGAATTGAAAAATTGCTTCTTTTTTACTGAAAGCTAATTTTGCTGAATTAACGCAGCGTCATTTTTTAATCTCTCCTTGAACTATGAGTCCTTGACAATATCTCCATAGATTACCGTAAAGTGTGTTTATTTAAAATCCAATAGTTTTACTGTTTTTAATTTTGTTTTTATTGTATAAAATTGAGTTTACTGTATATAAATGCTTTCATGTACTTTTTAATTTGAGAGTCATCTTGTTTTTTATTGTGTTTATCATACGGATATATTAAGTGTATCATATCTCTGAACTGGTTACTTTATCCGAGGGCATGTGGACTCCAGTTTCTTAATCAACCTGAAATGTAGAAAATATTAGTTATTTTCGAAAACAAACAAAACATTATTACAGAGGATTTGAATTTATTTAAACAAAATTAATAATTTGCTTTATATAAATGTGCCCTCAATAATATCTATTTTAAAAATAGAAAAAAAAAGACGATTTAAGAGCAATTTCTTAAATGAAAATCTGATATGCTTTGGTACTATTGCTTTCCATTAAGTGGTATTCGGAAATAGTTGAGTAATTCGGCAATCGGGTTAATGATAAAATATCACATTTAAATTATTTCTCGGTAATATTGTTAAATTAAAATGTCAAAGCAATTATAAATTAAGAAAATTATAGTTATAATTAAAAATCTTTCATTTTATTTATTTGTTTAATAATATTAAATTCCATTTGAACTACCAGAGTCAGACCTGATGTCCCGGTAACTTAACTTGATAAAATTGTAATTTCGCAAAAATAAATATTAATTTATTATTGTTCCGAGTTACTGAGCTATAGAAAAAGTCTGCATATAACTATTTTATTTCTAGGAACTCATAAAAATATGTGTTTTATATAGTTTAAAGAATGGTACTATTGGAACTATGCGAAAGACATAACCATTCTTTTGACTGGTTTGTTAACTAGTTCAAGTCAAAATTTTTAAAGAATGAAGCTGACAAATATCTAAAAAAAAATTAATATTGGCATCTGTATTATCGCAAGAAATGCAATAATGCAATAATAACTTCAACGAAGATATAATCTTATGTAAGCGATGCGAAATCAGTTTCAAACAGCAGAATAAATAAAATAAAGTTCATTTCACTTAATTCCACAATATAAGTAATCTTATAATACTACCCCGATTGGTCCAAAGTACATATATACCGTAACATATAGGGAACTTAATAATAAATGAATTTCTAAATACCTAGAAAATGAAGAATAATTTGAATTAGATTGAAGCCTAGAAAAAAGTGATTAATAACAGTGTTTTAAGTACCTGGAGTACCTGAAGTCCACTTATGCTAAAAGAATTTCTTATAACTTTATAACTAATGTAAGGGTTTCACTACTTCAATGCAAATTAAGTATAATTGCAAAAAAAATATTTTTCAGCAGTTTTGTAACTGCTGAAGTTAAGAGTACGTAAATTTAATGATAATAGCACGTAATTTATAGTACTCACCTTTTCCATCTCCCTACGCAATTCCTCGATTTCCTCCATTGAAGTTGTTTTGAATGCCGAGTTTTTGGAAGAATCCTCTAAACAGGTTTCATAGGAATTCTCAATAGAATCACTTGCTGTGTTGTTTATATTATTGGTGGCTGGCTCGCCAATCATTTCGCCACTTCCAGTATCTATAGCTGTTACAGCCTGATCATCAACACATTGATTGAGCTCATTTTCATTTTCAACAACAGTTTCAATCACTTCAGCATTTCCAGTATCTGTATTTGTTACAGCCTGATTATCAATACATTGATGGAACTCATTCTCATTTTCCACAACAACTTCATTATTAGTGGTTGGATCGGCAATCACTTCGTCTTTTCCAGTATCTGTAGTAGTTAGAGCCTGATAAGTAACATATTGATAAAGCTTGTTTTGATTTTCTACAATAGCCTGATCAACGATACATTGAAAAGTTACATTTTCATTAGTGTCAGTAGTCTCAATGTAACTGCGCCGAGTAACAGCGGTTGGCCGCTCCTCAGTTACCACAGCAGTTTCTTCAGCTGAACTCTCATCATCTGAATTTTTCGCTAAAGTAGGTGCAACTTCCGACAAAATTTCTTTAAAAATTTCTCGGCGTTCTCTTTCCATTCTTTGTGCATGAGTTTCCGCAGGGGGACACTTTTCTTCCCCTTCCGCAGCAATAGCATCCATAAGTGCACGTTTAATTTTCATTTCCTCCCACGACACACAGATCTCGTTATAGAACATAACGACATAAACCACGGCACAAATGCATATGGTTATTAGAATACACATTATTATATTGAGCATGTTATCCGGATTTCTTTGGAGCAGTGCATGGTTGATATGATGACGTAGGTAATTTCTTATAAAAACCATTTTGCTGAAATGAAATTATGTGACTACAATAAGTTAAAATGTTTTTAATATAAAACGGATCAATGTGTTAATACATGTTGTAATTATATGCTGCAAGAATGATATCTGACATCTTAAGGGCCATGTTATGCAGAATGTCTCGGGCACACCAAAATTCGCTCTTTCGGGCTATGCCGAAAATGCAATCTGAGTTCACCAATACATTACCCACTACATTTCTGCATACATAATATTTATTGACTTTTAATGATATGTGATTTGTATAGATAGCAACAATAATCAATTATATGAGAATTATTCTGAAATATGTATTTAAAATTGGTACCAACCACAATTTGAATACTTCCTTCGATGTCTGGTCAAAAATCCACGTTCCGAATATCGTCCAAAATATATCCAAGCTTTTAATTTATTTTGTATTTACCTCAATTAAGAAGAATTTGGCTTACTTTAAGGCTTCCTTAGCTCATTGATAGTTATCGAAAAATGCGGTCCAAAAGTGTTTCTTTGGTTAAATTTGGGTATTCACAAAAAACTATATTGAAAGGAAAATTTAAATAAAAATTAATAAAATAATAGAAATATGACTTCTAGTATAAAAATCGATGTTAACTCTTTTCAATAACTTTTCAATAAACACTGAAAAGCTGTCAAAAATTTGAAAAAAAATTTTTTTTTTTAAAACTACCGAAAGTGCTTGCAAATTACTTAAAGTGATATACAGAAGCACGTCAGGTAAATTTTGAAACAAAACTCTTTAATCACGTTTTAGAAATATAGGTAGTTGAAATATAAATAAAAGAACTGCGATGCCATATGAAACCCCATAGACACTTTGTGTATACAAGAACTTCTGATCATTCAGAATCGCAAGTATATATTTGACTCTAAGACTATTCAAGATAAATATTTATAAATTTTATTCATAGTGCATTTTATGCTATTGAATTATTTATAAATAAACAATATAAGTAATTATAACTAATTTTAATTGAAGTTACTTACAATTAGATGAGATGTATTCAACTCTGTTACAAAATAGATATCAGCACTTCTGTAGACGCAATAAAAAAATTTAGAAGTTTTTTCAAATTTGCTTCAATATTTAAACAACATTTAACGAAGTAAAAAAATATTTGTTTTAAAGAAGAATTTATTCGAAAGTAAACATTTTTTTTCAAATCATGGCAAACTGCTTAATTTGTTAATTTGTCTAATTTTAAGTTCAACTAATCTTAGAGCAGTTAAGTCCGTCAGTAAAAATAAATGTACTTGATTTGGTGTTTACTCGTAATTAAAGACTTCAGATTTAAAAAAGTGTACCACACAATTTAAAACCCTTCAATCAAATATTAGTCAAAATTGGATACCTATTTCACTCAACTTGTGATTTATTACATACAGCAAAGCCTCAAATACTGCCATAAAGCAATTACAGATAGCACAAAACCTGGCTATAAGAAGACTATTTAAAATTCCATGGTATATTAGAGCAACAGACATTTACAGAGATCCAAGGATCGAATCAGTGAAAAAATATATCAAGGATATAGCCCTAAAATTATTCACAAAAAATGGTACGCTGCCCAATCCTGTCATTAACAAACCTTAAGTCCACCTCAGCACCCACAGCAAGATATGCTGATCTATAGTCCGTCATCAGTTAAACGACAAATAAATGATATGCATTTATAGTATAGTATAGTTAAAGCTTAGTGTGGAGCATGTATAAGCTCCCGGGCCACAAAAGAGTAAAAATAGCACTAAATCAAGAAATCAAATCAAGTTATATTGTAAATATAATTGAAATACAAATTGAAGCAACTAAACTATCATGTTTACACTTACAATTATTGTACCTCATAAGCATGTATTGCATGGACTTTGGATGGATTTGATATGACAATGACACATATTGCAGCAAATTAATTCATTTTATTGCAATAGTGTTCTGTAGCTGCAGTAATATAAACGTCCTATTATATTGTATTTAATTTTTAAGTGCTTTCCTTTAAATCGGATAGGACGCTTTACTCGGGCATAAAATTGATTTACAAATTCCAAAATAACTGACGAATCGACATATATATGTATAATCGGAATCGATATATATAATTTTAAACTACTTGGATACGACTACCATACATTGAGCGCCAATTATATTTATCTCTTCAAATAAAAGATAGTATGAAAGACAGTATATAAAAGACAGAATGTTTGAATTTACAGTAGACAACAGAATATGAAGAGACTAAATCACTTTATTATTATATACATCACCTAATTTTCTCTCGATAGTTCTCAATTTTCTTTGAAGGCATTGGTTTGTCTTCAACACAGGTTTAAGTAATTTGTGATGAAACTGGTGACAATGATATACAAAAATTTACTTATTTGCCATCATAGGGTTAGATTTATAACTCGATTATCGATCTCGCATATTTCAAATTGAAAAACACTATAGAAATAAGGATTCGAGAAATTGTTAGTTTGTCGCATTTTTACATAAAGCATTCTTGCTTATAATTTATATTTTTGCTTTATATATTTATAGTATAATTTATATTATATATTTATATTATTTATATTCTGCTAAAATTATGGACGTTAGCTCGTACCGCTATTCTATTCAGTTTGTTTTGTTATTTAACTCCCGAGTAATAACTGAGTTATTATGGTTTTATTTATAAGGAGGGTCAACTTTTTGTTAATCAAATTTCAATAATCTAGGACTGCAAATGAGCCTTTCAAAGAATGTTCATCTGCTGTTCACAGGCAATATCGTGTTCACTTATGATGGCGTCATAGTTGAGGACAGTTCCATGACTTGTCAGTATGTCATTAACTTGCGAAACTATTTCGTTGCGTGGTGTGGTCAAGGCAGCGAAATATTTTCGGCTACCTCTTGAGGGGAGGCTCATACACTTATGTGCTGCCTCCCTCCAGCTGAGAGTTTTCGTTTCCAGAAAATTCTGGAATGGATTAAATTATATCAAGACTTTAATCAAAAGTTGTGCTTTCATCGATGGTTTGTACTTTATAATCTACGACGTTATTTGTTTCAGTCAAGGTTTGTATTTGTGTTTTTTCAGACTTCTGAAATCATCCGTAAGGGATGATAAATTTACAGAGATCAATGTACTAATTGTCTCTTGAGTTATTGTAACTGTTTATAAATTATAATTATTGGTAGTCAGTTTTGAAAAATTTGGAATTAAACCTAGAATTTTTATTTTTGCAGAAAAAAAAACAAATCAAATATCTATCGAGAAAAAACAGATGCCCTTTTTTTTTTTTTTTTTTTTTTTTTTTTGCAGTAGGTGGAAAGCATCGAAAGCCACAGTGTGAGACTTGAACCCACTAAAACCACCTCTTAGGAATGAATGAAGAAGATTTCCACAGCAATGTGGAAACTTCATTCCAGTAATCATGGGAAAGAGGAATGAGAAAATAGACTTAATACCTAGTGAACTAGATTCATCTAAGTCAGAAAGCAAGGGCATGAACTAAGTAGGATGGATGATATAGAAGGGGGAGGGGTTACGGCTAACTAGCGGGGATAGAATCAACAATATACTTTGTGACTGGGGTCACGAAAGCCGCGGTTATATAAGGGGATAGTGGAGAGGTTACGGTCCACTTCGTCGAAGTAGTGAGTCAGGTATTGGGGGGGTTTATAGCGCAAAGCTAGAACAAAGTCTTCTGAGAGAGTGGAAGGAATGGAAACGTCGGGGGGAAGGTCATGGAGCCGGGTGAGATACCTACGGGCGAGTGACAGAAGATACTCGTCAACACGAGTGATCTTGGCATTGTTATAGAGAGTTGTTATGGAAAAGTGTTTGCCATTAGGTTTGCGCTTATAATTAGTGCAATCGCGAAGAAGTTTCCGCTCAAACAAGCGGATTCTTTCCATCTGAGCGGAAGTGATGGCTGACCAAATACGAAAAGCGTAAGTGAGGAGAGGACGAATAAGCTGCTTATAGCAGAGCAGCTTAACTTTGCAGTTAAGCTGGTTATGTCTTCGAAGTGCAGTTTTAAGTTGAGTATGCCTGAACCGGGCGTTACGGATGGCATAGTCAATATGTGGTATGAAGTTATGTTTGGAAGAGAAAACAATGCCAAGATATTTCAGCTTGGGAACAAGCTGAATTGGAGAGTTATTAAGCCTGAGCTTAATATTAGAGGTGCTAAAACCTCTGGGACGATCACGCTGCTGGCCAGTAAAGGCAATGGCAGAGATCTTGGAAGGATTGAGTTTAATCTTCCACCTGGTATAGTAGTCAAAAAGAGATTTAAGGTGGGCATTAAGCTCATTGGAGACGCGGAAAGGATTAGACGAGCGCATGAAGACAAGGCAGTCGTCTGCGAAGCAGATTTGCTTAATAGGGGTCCGCGGGAGTGGAATATCTGCTATAAACAGGTTGAAAAGGAGGGGTCCAAGAACCGAGCCCTGAGGGACGCCAGCATCGATGGGGAAATCACGTGACAGAGAGGAACCGACTCGAACCTGAAAGGTTCTGTTAGAAAGAAATTTGTGGACAACACTGCAGAGCGTAGGAGAGAAGCCGAACTGGTGAAGCTTAAGGATTAAGCCTTCAAACCAGACAGTATCAAAGGCTTTTTCAATGTCAAGACTTAGTGCCACAGTGGGCTGCTTATTAAAAAAGCCTACGCATATCTCATTTTGGAGATGATGCAGGGCATGGATGGTAGAGATTTGGCTCCTAAAGCCGAACTGAAAAGGGGGAATAATATTATTCCCAGAAGAGAAGGATTTCAGCTTGCTGGCTATGAAGGTTTCATAGAGCTTACTGACAGAGTTGAGAAGAGAAATAGGACGATAGCTGAAGGGGTCAGCTTTGGGTTTGCCAATTTTGGCAACGGGACAAACTATGGCCTTCCTCCATGGCTGGGGGAAGGAACCAGTGTTGTACGCATGGTTGAAGAGCATGGCGCACTTTTTAAAAAAGAGTGGTGAGAAACGCCTCATGGCGTAGAAAGACACACAGTCAGTGCCAGATGACTTTTTAGGGGCTTTAAGCCGAAGCATGTCAATAAGATCAAAAGGGGTGAGAAACCCTTGAGTGTTTTCAACATTGATGCAGTGAGCGGGAAACTGCGGGGAGAAAGTAACAATGCTTTCATTGAAAGCATCAAAAAGCCCATGAACTACAGAATTCGTAGTTAACGTAAGGTGGCGCTCGCCTAGGCCAGCCGTAAGACGGTGATTAGTCATAAAGACTTCACCAAAGACGTTGGCTTTATCAAGGTCGTCATACACCATGGAGTTGCCATAGCGGAGGTCTGAGATGGACCTATTGGATCCACAGATTTGCCTGACCGTACTAAAGACGTCAGACCGGCACTGAGTGGCACGAAGTCTGGCACTAATGGAATTAAACCTGGATTGGTTGACTCTCTGGGCAATTATGGTGTCCAGGTTCTTAAGAATGGCTTGGAACGCATGAGCTTGCGGTGAAGCTACCTGTCTAAGGCGATAAGTTCTGCGGCGAAGCGATTTCCTCAGGTTAATGAGGAGAAGGGTAGAAGCATCAAGAGGAACTTGATAAAATTTGCGAACACGCACCTTCGGAACATGGTCCTCAATTGTGGAGGTGAAAATGCTTTCAAGAGTACGGGCAGCAAAATCAATCTCCACAGGAGTCATGTTCCTGTATTCGGGAATGCTCAAATTAAGAAGGAGGTGGTCGAGAGCGAGGTTGAACTCCGACCAGTTGGTGCTAGGAAAGTTAAAAAAAGTGCGAGGGCAGGCACGAGAAGCTCTGCAGTCGTGAAGCACAAGCCTTACTGCTTGGTGGTCAGATATGCCGTCAATGACTCGTGGGTCACTAAGGCAGGAAAGGAGGCGATTATCCGCTAAGAAAAAATCAATGATACTATTAATATGAGTCGGAACCGAAGGAGCTACCACACTTAAAACAGGACTGACTGAGCTGCTAGTCAGCCAGTTGAATAGCCTAGTGCCACTAGGGCAAGAGGCAGAATTATTCCAAAAGGGGTGCTTACTATTGAAGTCACCACCGATAAGGAAAGGGTTAGGGGACAAGGAGGCAAGGGTGCCCAGATCACAAGGGACAATGCACGAAGCAATAGA